ACGGACGAATCAATGTCTGAACACCGTTTCGCATACTTTTTCACCATTCCCATCTGAGTTGAATCCAGCACAGGAGAAACAGATTACCCTCTACCAGTACAACGCCAATCAATGTCTGAACACCATTCCAAGCTGAATTCGATCCAGCACAAGATATCTAGCACACAGACAATCATTGTTTGAACACCGTTCGGCATACTTTTTCACCATTCCATCTGAGTTGAATCCAGCACAGGAGAAACAATGTCCCCTTCTACCAGTAAAAGACCAATCATGTCTGAACACCATTCCAACTGAATTGATCCAGCACAGAATATTAGCACACAACGACCAATCAATGTCTGAACACCGTTTCCATACTTTTCACCATTCCCACTGAGTTGAATCCAGCACAGGAGAACAATGTTCACCTACTCAAGTACAACGACCAATCAATGTCTGAAACCGTTCCGACATACTTTTTCACCATTCCTGATAGGGTGTGGGTAGACGTGATTAGCTCGCTCTATCGTTCCATATATGCAGATGGGATCTGATTTGAATGTAGTAGGAGTACCTCATTCACGCGATAGTGTTATTCCAGCTCAACTTGCAACAAATCGCAGGAGAGAGGCTCCGTGCTCGAATGCCATAAAGAACGTATGACCGTGATGCTACAGATGGACCTCGGGTAATCGGGGTCGTTGTGTGTTAATATTCTGTGCTGAATCCAATTCAGCTTGGAATGGTGTTCAGACATTGATTGGTCGTTGTACTTGTAGAAGGGTGACATGTGTTTCTCCTGTGCTGGATTCAACTCAGATAGGAATGGTGAAAAAGTATGCCGAAACGGTGTTCAGACATTGATTGGTGGTTGTGTGCTAATCTCCTGTGCTGGATCCAATTCAGCTTGGAATGGTGTTCAGACATTGATTGGTCGTTGTACTGGTAGAAGGGTAACATTTGTTTCTCCTGTGCTGGATTCAACTCAGATAGGAATGGTGAAAAAGTATGCCGAAACGGTGTTCAGACATTGATTGGTCGTTGTACTGGTAGAAGGGTAACATTTGTTTCTCCTGTGCTGGATTCAACTCAGATAGGAATGGTGAAAAAGTATGCCGAAACGGTGTTCAGACATTGATTGGTCGTTGTGTGTTAATATTCTGTGCTGAATCCAATTCAGCTTGGAATGGTGTTCAGACATTGATTGGTCGTTGTACTTGTAGAAGGGTGACATGTGTTTCTCCTGTGCTGGATTCAACTCAGATAGGAATGGTGAAAAAGTATGCCGAAACGGTGTTCAGACATTGATTGGTGGTTGTGTGCTAATCTCCTGTGCTGGATCCAATTCAGCTTGGAATGGTGTTCAGACATTGATTGGTCGTTGTACTGGTAGAAGGGTAACATTTGTTTCTCCTGTGCTGGATTCAACTCAGATAGGAATGGTGAAAAAGTATGCCGAAACGGTGTTCAGACATTGATTGGTCGTTGTACTGGTAGAAGGGTAACATTTGTTTCTCCTGTGCTGGATTCAACTCAGATAGGAATGGTGAAAAAGTATGCCAAAACGGTGTTCAGACATTGATTGGTCGTTGTACTGGTAGAAGGGTAACATTTGTTTCTCCTGTGCTGGATTCATCTCAGATAGGAATGGTGAAAAAGTATGCCGATACGGTGTTCAGACATTGATTGGTCGTTGTGTGCTAATATTCTGTGCTGGATTCAATTCAGCTTGGAATGGTGTTCAGACATTGATTGGTCGTTGTACTGGTAGAAGGGTGACATGTGTTTCTCCTGTGCTGGATTCAACTCAGATAGTAATAGTGAAAAAGTATGCCGAAACGGTGTTCAGACATTGATTGGTCATTGTACTGGTAGAAGGGTAACATTTGTTTCTCCTGTGCTGGATTCAACTCAGATAGGAATGGTGAAAAAGTATGCCGAAACGGTGTTCAGAAATTGATTGGTCGTTGTGTGCTAATATTTTGTGCTGGATCGAATTCAGCTTGGAATGGTGTTCAGACATTGATTGGTCGTTGTACTGGTAGAAGGGTAACATTTGTTTCTTCTGTGCTGGATTCAACCCAAATAGGAATGGTGAAAAAGTATGCCGAAACGGTGTTCAGACATTGATTGGTCGTTGTGTGCTAATATTCTGTGCTGGCTCGAATTCAGCTTGGAATGATGTTCAGATATTGATTGGTCGTTGTACTGGTAGAAGGGTAACATTTGTTTCTCCTGTGGTGGATTCAACTCAGATAGAAGTGGTGAAAAAGTATGCCGAAACGGTGTTCAGACATTGATTGGTCGTTGTACTGGTAGAAGGGTAACATTTGTTTCTCTTGTGCTGGATTCAACTCAGATAGGAATGGTGAAAAAGTATGCCAAAACGGTGTTCAGACATTGATTGGTCGTTGTACTGGTAGAAGGGTAACATTTGTTTCTCCTGTGCTGGATTCAACTCAGATAGGAATGGTGAAAAAGTATGGCGATACGGTGTTCAGACATTGATTGGTCGTTGTGTGCTAATATTCTGTGCTGGATTCAATTCAGTTTGGAATGGTGTTCAGACATTGATTGGTCGTTGTACTGGTAGAAGGGTGATATGTGTTTCTCCTGTGCTGGATTCAACTCAGATAGTAATAGTGAAAAAGTATGCCGAAACGGTGTTCAGACATTGATTGGTCATTGTACTGGTAGAAGGGTAACATTTGTTTCTCCTGTGCTGGATTCAACTCAGATAGGAATGGTGAAAAAGTATGCCAAAACGGTGTTCAGAAATTGATTGGTCGTTGTGTGCTAATATTTTGTGCTGGATCGAATTCAGCTTGGAATGGTGTTCAGACATTGATTGGTCGTTGTACTGGTAGAAGGGTAACATTTGTTTCTTCTGTGCTGGATTCAACTCAAATAGGAATGGTGAAAAAGTATGCCGAAACGGTGTTCAGACATTAATTGGTCGTTGTGTGCTAATATTCTGTGCTGGATCGAATTCAGCTTGGAATGATGTTCAGACATTGATTGGTCGTTGTACTGGTAGAAGGGTGACATTTGTTTCTCCTGTGCTGGATTCAACTCAGATAGGAGTGGTGAAAAAGTATGCCGAAACGGTGTTCAGACATTGATTGGTCGTTGTGTGCAAATATTCTGTGCTGGATCCATTTCAGCTTGGAATGTTGTTCAGACATTGATTGGTCGTTGTACTGGTAGAAGGGTAACATTTGTTTCTCCTGTGGTGGATTCAACTCAGATAGGAGTGGTGAAAAAGTATGCCGAAACGGTGTTCAGACATTGATTGGTCGTTGTGTGCAAATATTCTGTGCTGGATCCAATTCAGCTTGGAATGGTGTTCAGACATTGATTGGTCGTTGAACTGGTAGAAGGGTAACATTTGTTTCTCCTGTGCTGGATTCAACTCAGATAGGAGTGGTGAAAAAGTATGCCGAAACGGTGTTCAGACATTGATTGGTCGTTGTGTGCAAATATTCTGTGCTGGATCCAATTCAGCTTGGAATGGTGTTCAGACATTGATTGGTCGTTGTACAGGTAGAAGGGTGACATGTGTTTCTCCTGTGCTGGATTCAACTCAGATGGGAATGGTGAAAAAGTATGCCAAAACGGTATTCAGACATTGATTGGTCGTTTTGTGCTGATATTCTGTGCTGGATCGAATTCAGCTTGGAATGGTGTTCAGACATTGATTGGTCGTTGTACTGGTAGAAGGGTAACATTTGTTTCTCCTGTGCTGGATTCAACTCAGATAGGAATGGTGAAAAAGTATGCCGAAACGGTGTTCAGAAATTGATTGGTCGTTGTGTGCTAATATTTTGTGCTGGATCGAATTCAGCTTGGAATGGTGTTCAGACATTGATTGGTCGTTGTACTGGTAGACGGGTGACATGTGTTTCTCCTGTGCTTGATTCAACTCAGATAGTAATAGTGAAAAAGTATGCCGAAACGGTGTTCAGACATTGATTGGTCGTTGTACTGGTAGAAGGGTAACATTTGTTTCTCCTGTGCTGGATTGAACTCAGATAGGAATGGTGAAAAAGTATGCCGAAACGGTGTTCAGACATTGATTGGTCGTGGTGTGCTAATATTCTGTGCTGGATCCAACTCAGCTTGGAATGGTGTTCAGACATTGATTGGTCGTTGTACTGGTAGAAGGGTAACATTTGTTTTTGCTGTGCTGGATTCAACTCAGATAGGAATGGTGAAAAAGTATGCCGAAAGGGTGTTCAGACATTGATCGGTCGTTGTGTGCTAATATTCTGTGCTGGATCCAACTCAGCTTGGAATGGTGTTCAGACATTGATTGGTCGTTGTACTGGTAGAAGGGTAACATTTGTTTCTCCTGTGCTGAATTCAACTCAGATAGGAATGGTGAAAAAGTATGCCGAAACGGTGTTCAGACATTGATTGGTCGTGGTGTGCTAATATTCTGTGCTGGATCCAACTCAGCTTGGAATGGTGTTCAGACATTGATTGGTCGTTGTACTGGTAGAAGGGTAACATTTGTTTCTCCTGTGCTGGATTCAACTCAGATAGGAATGGTGAAAAAGTATGCCGAAACGGTGTTCAGACATTGATTGGTCGCTGTGTGCTAATATTCTGTGCTGGATCCAACTCAGCTTGGAATGGTGTTCAGACATTGATTGGTCGTTGTACTGGTAGTAGGGTGACATGTGTTTCTCCTGTGCTGGATTCAACTCAGATAGGAATGGTGAAAAAGTATGCCGAAACGGTCTTCAGACATTGATTGGTCGTTGTGTGCTAATATTCTGTGCTGGATCCAAATCAGCTTGGAATGGTTTTCAGACATTGATTGGTCGTTGCACTGGTAGAAGGGTGACATGTGATTCTCCTATGCTGGATTCAACTCAGATGAGAATGGTGAAAAAATAAATCGGAACGGTGTTCAGATATTGATTGGTCGCTGTGTGCTAATCTTCTGTGCTGGATCCGATTCAGTTTGGAATGGTGTTCAGACATTGAGTGGTCGTTGTGTGCTAATCTTCTGTGCTGGATCAGATTCAGCTTGGCATGGTGAAAAACGTTTGTTGGAATGGTGTTCAGACATTGATTGGGCGTTGCACTGGTAGAAGGTAGACATGTGATTCTCCTATGCTGGATTCAACTCAGATGAGAATGGTGAAAAAATAAATCGGAACGGTGTTCAGACATTGATTGGTCGTTGTGTGCTAATCTTCTGTGCTGGATCCAATTTAGTTTGGAATGGTGTTCAGACATTGATTGGTCTCTGTGTGCTAATCATCTGTGCTGGATCCAATTCAGTTTGGAATGGTGTTCAAACATTGATTGGTCGCTGTGTGCTAATCTTCTGTGCTGGATCAAATTCAGCTTGGCATGGTGAAAAACGTTTGTTGGAATGGTGTTCAGACATTGGTTGGTCGTTGCACTGGCAGAAGGGTGACATGTGATTCTCCTATGCTGGATTCAACTCAGCTTGGAATGGTGAAAAAGATTGTACTGGTGGAAGGTTGGTTGAGATGTGCTAATCTTTATAAGGATAGCTTGATACAACTATGCCTTGAGGTAGCTGCTTTGAAATGTAATAGTCTGCATACACAGTGGAACAATATCATACTGCTTCAAAGGGTACTTGACAAAATGACCAAAAAGAACTCATAGTTGATAAAATGTCAAATAAATGTCAAGAAATGCAAAATTACACAATTTTTCCCTTCTGACTAACAATTCCGTAAAATGCATTATTGAAATACATATGATAGGAGGCTCTACTTGCAACAAGCACCAACAAAGTATACATTCAAATTTGCAATGAAAAACTTAGATTGCCAGCTTGAATAATTGAAATTTTGAAAGATGATGACAGTACACATAAAAAAACAAAACGGGAAACCCTTTCTATTTTCTCTGAGAAAATGCTACGAAAAAGCAGTCTTTGTTTATTTCAATAGAATGTGTTATGACTCTGAAATTCAAACTGAACAAAGAGCAGCCTTTTTAACAAGAAAGGGAAATTTTGGATTACCTGATGGTAAATAGTTTGCAGCAGGTGTTTTCCATAAGTGGTTTGTAGACATATTTACCACTTCTAAAAGGAAAAATTTACATTAAGAAAATTCAAATGAACAGTGTTTAAGTCGCTATTTGAATTACAGTGTCATTTTATCAAAATTTACTTTTGCTTTGATGAAAATATAGGCAATTTTACGAAATCGGGAGTCTTTCGTAGAAGTAATAAAAAGGGCGAGCATGTGTAAATCTGTTTCACGTGTGTGACCAAAGCTGCCTTTATCTTGGGGAAAATGCCTGCATACACCAGAATTTCTGACCAGTTCATTGAAAAACGAGCTGCTCTGAACGAGCAATGAAATGCAGATGATAGACCACAACTAAATTCATTACATGCATTGCCATGGTTTGCCCACCATTCATTCTATGTTACAATTGACGTCATTTGAAAGACCTTAGCGAATGTAAAAAATATGGTTTTCGGAAACAAGGTCATGGTCAAATATTTGCCTTACGAGCCAGAGTGATACATTTTTAACACTTCTGAAAGTATATACATCATGGCAGGTCCAGATACCCCTGCTGCAATGGTGGGGAGTGAAATGAATTACATAATTGCTCAGAGAACAAACATTACTTGAACTTTTGCAACGCCAATGCAGGGCCAGGAAACAATCAGAGACGTGCATAAATACAAAAACACATACTTACAAACATTTGTTACTATTTTGAGCAAGATAAAACTACGGCAACGCTAGCTGTTGCAAAAGTCAGTGCATGGCAGAAACGTTCTTGACAGACTACCAGTTTGATCCTCAAATCAGACTCTTTAGCCATTAATATTTTACAGGAGCAATTTTTCATCATATACTCAGAAAAATTATTTGGGAAATGGTAGTATTATTTCAACAGCAAGGTCAGTATCAAGCAAACACGAATTTAAAATTCAAAAGGTAAAACATTTTTCAGTTTCGAACGCATAGGTTTTATTATTAATACATGAAAAAATAGTTAATATTCAAGAAATTCTTCTTTCCGATTGCAATGCTGTTTGGTTCTAGTTCAAGTTTGTGTTCGTAAGAGTACGGTCATAGCAGCACAGAACCAAGCCCTATGTACAAGCAACACAAGGAAAGTGGTATTTGGGAAAAAGTTGCTTCATTATGTCGTATATGTGATTTTGTGAAATTGTCATGTGGTGTGAGGTAGGGGTTCCTAGAGAGAAAGTGTTTTCGAAACTATCGAGGGTTAGAAGGCAAAACTTTAATAGCAAAGACATTCAAAGAGAGATATAATTCATTTGAAATAACCATTTTGGGCATGGCAAGGGCAAGGGGGACTGACAAGCATAGAAAAATTCTAACCATTAGGGTGTTTTTTGTAGTAAAAAGTGTCGTGACATCGTAAAAAATAGTTGCTCAAAGCAGCATCAAGCTCAATAAGAAAATTGTTGATTTGCCAACATGACTTGATTAAGCTAAATTTGAACATGAAACAGAAATCAATTAATCGATCATTAGTTGATCTAGGTAATATCTTTAGGAAGAACAGCCTACCGCCTCCAACCTCTGTTTACCAAATCCTCATAGTCAGTGCATGTCAAACGGTGAGCCCACATACCTAAAATCGAAACATCAAAGATGAGTTGCATTCTTTATATGTGTTGTTTAAGTTGCAACCCTTCTTGGCTTTTTCACCTTCTAACCCTGCTAACAAAAGTTAACGGACCTGGTTTAAATACTCCAATTGAATCATCTCAACTTGACTTCTTGACTACCTGGTCATAGATTGGGACACCAAAATGATAATGCAAACCTCTACATTTATTTTCTTGCTTGGTCAGCGATTGATTGCTCCACTTTTTCATCAAAAATAAATATTGAATGGGGTCGATTTCATGTTACAGATATTATGCTTTGAAGAAATTATGGTATACTTTTTATCAAATATTAATACGACAAAAGAAGAACAAGAAAGATCAAGAAAAATGTCCAGCAAAAAAGCAATAAAATCTTGTTGAATAAACTAAACTTCCAGTAACATTATTTAGGAATATTTCGAAAATTCTGTTTTGTTGCAGAAGAAGCAGGGAAAAGGACATGCCTATCAACTTTTTGAAAAAAATTAAAATTTCGTATCATGTGTCAGTATTTACTATAAGTAGTTTATAAAATAGGAATTGGAGAGTTAGAAAATATGCTGATATCTTTAAAAAGCTATCTCAGAAATTTCACTTTTGAACCAATTGATTAGCAGGTGATTATAGATCGTATTGGTCACTTGATATGGACCAATATGACCAATCATATCTAACAACAAAACTTTTCACACTCAATGGCTACCAAGTGAAACACATGTAAGCATAGCAAAATATATTTTACCAAAATGTTATTTAATTGCTGAGTTTTGCTTTGCTTTTATGTTTCTGATGCAATAACATGTGTACACATGTATAGACCACAAAAAGACGCTGGACATTCAAAACACTTCTACAAAACTACTAAAGATAATCTAAAAACAATATCAATCAAAGGGGCATAGAGGGAACTTTCTTAATAATCTCAAAGTGCCAATGATTTGAAAAATTGACATTTTTTTAAATCTTGTTTTATGTCAATGCAGTATCTCTGAATCTGTTGGTGAGATTTTTTCTCGAAATTATTACTTTTTTGTTTGTCACTTGACGTGAATTATGACGTGTTACGATGGGTGGTGCTGGTTTTTTTGTTGCCTCGTTCGAAATCTGTCGAATATGGTTGACTGCTACTGCTTGTTGACTAGAGGCTTCTGGTTTCCTTGTTTCATCGCATGTTTGCTTTTCAGTGGTTTTTCATACCCTAATTATGTAGCAACTTTCTGTGTGTTTCTTGACAACCATGAATAGTACAACCCCTGCTTCGAGTACAGCTGTGATCATCCCCAAGGCAAGGAAACCACAACTTCAATTTCTTTGTCACATTCCATCACTGACAAATTTCCCTGTTTTGAAAGATGTCATATGCCTACACACCATGTTTACCATTGCATACTTTGCAAAATCGCTGCTCACCATACCTCTCACCAGTGGCAACTTAGTAACTCACTTGAAAGCGCTTCGCTTGAAATCTACCGTCAGTAACACCAAAAATTGTGGTTTTCTTTTCTCCTGGAAGGCTTTTTGATCCACTACTTCTATTTTCACTGCATTCTACATGATCAGTGTCTCAACGCATTTCCTTCTTCGATTTTCAAAGATCCACCGATTTTACTGGTCAGCGGTGTTTCTTGAAGATTATTCAACAGCTTGACGAAGAAGAAGAAGAACAAATTCCCAATTCTTCTTGATGTCGTCCGTCTTGTAGATTCAATTACTTTCTTTTTCTATTTAACATCCTACTAGAGCTTCTCTACAGAGCATCAAACATCGATGGCACATACACAAATGGCACCGATGCTAACATAACAAGTGGCAATATACTAACGGAAATTGCATACCATTTTCCTCCGTTTTTTATCTTGAAAAGTACTCAGATTGGTCATAATAAATCTGTATCTTTTAAACATGATTATTCCATATTCAAGGAAGGAAATTTTTAAAGGAATTTGACCAGCTTGGTTTTACTTTTGGAAAACAGAGACATCGATTTAAACAATCAATTTGATAGATTTTGGTATGATCTTACATCTTTGACCAACAAATATGCTTCAATTAAAATAGGGAGCAAAAAGGAAGTGAAGCTCAAAGATAAACCATAGATCAACAATAGATTCGAAAGATGACGAGAGTCAGAATCAGAGTTCTGCAGAAATAAAAGAGAAAGAAAACCGATGATAAAATCAATTGTACAAAAAGTTTAGAAGTCGTGTATACAATATATTTTCATGTTTACTTTTCAACTAATAGTCAACTTCAACTAAAGTATGAAAAATTTATGGTCAGGCATCAATTCGCTCTTGTAAACACATGAATCATCTAGCTCTTTTTCAATCAACAAAATCCAAGGCAAAAATGGGAATGTAATGCCCGATTACTTTAAAATATAAATATTTTCATTGAATTTTTATGTTCACATTTTTAGTAATATAACCAAGAAAATCTCAGTGAGTCTTAAATCTCCTTCTAAGTTCTTGTCAAACAGAACTTCTAACTCACATTTTCTCTCTCCATTAATTCAGACGGTTAACATTTTAAACCCATCAAATCCTGTAGGTTCAAAAAGGATTCCTAGAAATTACTCAAAATCATGCGATACTAGGATTCCCCAAATTATACTAGCCTTGTGAACTAGAATTCTTACTTACTAGAATGTTTGGGTTCACATACTGTTTTGCATGCTTGATTCCACTATTCGTTTTGGTTTCCTATTTAGTAAATGCTGAGCACATTTTTGCATAAATAAAATTGCCATGCCTTTGTGTACTTGGCCCATTTCGAATGCTAGATTCAAACATTCTTTTTGGTTCCCTATTGTTCAAAGGTTTGGTTACGTTTCTGTAAAACAGAAATTGTCATGCGTATGCATATGCAAATGCATACGGTTACGGGAATGCATATGGCACCGGCAAAAAACAGTCTTACAACTGACTGACTTAAAAGTAAGATTCTACAGGGAAACTCGCGAAATGAATATATGAAATTGCCAATAAAAAGGGAAGTTCCCAGAAGAGTAACGTAAAATATATTTCAGGCCTTCCTGGAAATGGCGTGCGATTGCACTCACACGTGTTGGAACTTAGTGCGTTTAATCGCACACCTGTTTTTTTATCATTCGTTTGTTTTAACCAACGCGCTGGAAACTAATAAGGTGACAAAAAGCAATAATTCTTATTTATTTCAAGTTATGTAATGTGTTTCATTGCTCTGGTCCACCGTGCTGGGTCACCTTACTTTACAACTTTGTACGACATCAACATCACCGTCCAACAGATAGCGTTCACAAAATCCTCTACCTATCTTGTAATACTGACACCTTAGTGATATATGAGTGTACTAGGTTTCTACTCAGTGATCTTCTTTGCCCACTGTCTTGTTTCCATTCGGGCAATACAACCTGCCCATTGCAAATTTAACTTTTTTGAATTTGCTACACCATCAACAATTTTGGTGTGTGACCTTAAACTTTCATTGTCCACTTGTCTAGGCATTTGATGCTCCTCTTCCTTTGTTACTCTATGTCACCACCAAATTATGTTAGTGTTCATGTTTAAGCACAACTGCATTGCTGCTGGAATTAGTAATACATATCTAACATCAATAGTCAACTCACTTTCAAGTTTAGGAATTTTTTCAAAAATCCAAAACCTTACAAACTTATCTGGTTATGACATTAATGAGAATTTTGAGCCTGAAATTCATTCCAGCTTTCATAACTGAAGGCTATCCAAATCTCATCAAAAGGTCACTCACTTTTTCATATGAGTATCAGCAGTCTTACCCTTCGTTTCGATGAACTACATACACTGACTAGTAGGAAACACATACTAGGAAATACTGGCATTGACTTTCAGCTGATAGGCTTGTCAGAAATCAAGATATTCCACTCCATAAAAAATTTCGATCAATTTACTTTATTTATTTATAGCAATTTTCTGTTTTTTTATCTTTTGTAACTTTGTTATATAATCTTTGTTAATTGTTGCATATACAATGATTTTTGTATGTAGTGGAATTCTAGAATCAAATTAAATGAAATGAATGAAATCAAGATATCTGTAGATCCACCTCTTCTATCAAAAACTGACACTTGCCGATACCAATTTCATCATTCACTTTCACTTACTTCTGCTGATGGTGTTGGTTTTTATGTTAAATCAAAACCTTATAGCAAATTAGCGGTTTGACCTTTGCACTAGAGCTCACAACTTTGAGCTAAGGTTATTTCAATTCACAAAAAGATGATATAACAATTAAAGCAAATTATAGGCTGATCTCTCTATTATCAGTTTTTGGCAAAATCTTGGAAAAACTTTTGCATTAGCGACTAAAAAAATGTTTTAGAACTCCATGATGAAATTTGGCTTTCGCAGTGGCCACTCTATTGACTATGCTTTGATAAGCTTAACTGAGAAAATGAAATGTACTCTTGACTCTAATAGAATTGAATGTGAAATCTTCATAGACTTATAGAAAGCTTTTGATGCTGTGAATCACCAAGTTCTACTGCAAAAACTGAATCACTATGCTATGCTATAAGAGGTTTTACATTAAAGTGGCTTTCGAGAGACTTGCCTGACTGACAGATTCCAAATCGTTCCAGTAAATGGATATTCTTCTAATAATAGAATAATAACCTGTTGCATTCCTCAAGGCTCTGTACTTGGACCTTTACTTTCTTTGGTATATATAAATTACTGGCCCAATGAATCTAAAATTTCCTTCTTTTTTCTACTTGCAAATGATACAAATATCTATTAATATTAGAACAGACTAAAACAAACTAATCAGAAAAATTAATAGAGGGCTTCTGAAAGTAAAGTCCTGGCTTGAAATAAGCAAACTAGCGCTTAACATTCTGCTAACCTTGGAAGAAACTCATTGAAAGCTTTGATATAAGATTTGGCAAGAATTCACATACCCTGTCTCTAGATCTGGGTATGTTAGGTTCTGAGGCCCTCTGATGAATGAAAATCTTTTCTGGAAA